GAATTAGGAATGACATTTCTCTCAGCCTGCAGCATCCTGGAAGAACGAACGTCATCTAAGATCAGACAGCAAAGATTCAGACTTTGCAGGTCTCCATTTTTCTACAGTTTATCTTCAGTAAGACTGTTTACATCCATTTTTCCAGTTTAAACATTCCTCAATATCTTTTACAGAGCGCATCAGCTGCCACAGTCTAAAGCAAATTGAAGCTTTAGGTCGGATTTGTAAAAGTAAAATTTTTCAAGCAATTGTAGGTATTTAAATTCCACCTTGAAGTCTTAACTTGAGAGCAGGAGTGCTAGTGTTGCATGACTACAATAAATACGATGAGAGACCTACTGTTACTGAAAAGTGGACAAGTTAGACCAGCTGTGTAACAGTCAATGCTTTTACAGTAATAAATGTTGACAGCAAAAATAAAAAGAATGCATTACTGAGACACCATCAAATGAGCCTTGTCATTACATGGAAACTCCACCCTGTATAAGCTTGTCAAAAAGTGTTACTGTAATCCTTTGAGAAGCCTCCTCCTCAGGCAACAGAGAAAAATGCTTAGGATCAGCCCAGAACAGGTGTGTTGTACTGTAATGCCAGCGTTTAATCACAGATCTCTTTACATTAATCTCACACAGGAACTAACTTGGATCTATGTGGACCCATCATGCAATGCTGAGATGATTATTTAACTATCAAATTAGATCAAGCAAGCAAACAGAATGTTTGCAAATGGACATTCCAAGACGTACAATATTTTACAATTATAATTTTTCTTGTCAGAGTCCAGCAGCAGGCACTGACACTTAAGAGGAACTGATACCATGCACTCCTTTCAAAGTCAATCCATGATAAATACCAATTCACACCTTGATCAACACTGGCGGAGGCCAGTTCTCTGCTTTGATACTCTCTTTCACTTACAGAAGAAACTCTTTAGTGGCATTTATTTCCTCTTTGAAAAATTCCCCAGCCCTGCTGCCCAAACAATAGTTAATGTATAAACATTTCTAGTGCGGCCCAGAGGAGCAGGCATGGTGAGAAAAGGAAAGTATTTCTATTAGATGTACAAAATTGTTTGTGCATTTATGTGGCTATTATACCACTTGGAGCCTGAAACTCACAAAACTATTTCCCTGGGAGCTGGTAAACCACTGTTACTTTATATTAAACGCATCTATTAACTTATCAGAATAATTTTGCATACGTAGCCTGAGGCTGGATCAGCAGATCCTAGACTTGACCACCTTGACAAGGGTAGGACCGGATTTGGCCAGTGGCTTTGCTGCTGCTGCTGCCCTTGACTCTACCTAATTTAATTATCCATTGGCCACTTCTTACCAGAAGTGCCACATGAGTACAAGATCAGTACATTGTTGACCATGTTATTATTTGTAGCTCTTCAATCTAAGTACCAAACTTACAAAACAGTAACGGTGTGACAGCCACACCAGGTAGGTGTCTGGCACATCAACAGTGTGGCCCAAAAGAGGGAGGAGGTTTCTGAGATGTCATCTGGTCCACACAGCTGTCACAAAGCCAGCAATGGGCCCAGTGGTGTATGACTGGCGCAGGAGACCAGGGGAGAAAAGGAAGAAGAAGGGAAGAAGATTTGTCCCACTTTAAAAAAGATTGGAGAGAGAACAGATGCTTAAATTTGGGACCACCTCTACCTCAAGACAAGCATGCTGGATTACTCTGACTACATTTACACATCTCAGTATTTTTTAACATATTTCCTTGGAGACTACGTAAGAAAAAGATCAATCAAACAGTACAGATAAACCCTTAAATCCAATCACCGGTTAAATGATGGAATGACACTATGGAAGTACATCCCATTTTGTCTAATTAAAATCGTGTGGGGCTGAATCAGTATATTTTATTAACACACGGATGCAAAAGCATAGGATTTAGCTAGCCATACTATTACACCCACTAACAAAATGACTCACTTTGCTGAGGAAAGTTGGTGACTGAGTTTTGAGCATCCAGCCTGCAATACCTTAACGACCCACAGGCTGATTGCTAGGTGACACCTAAACAGCTACAACCAGCATCACAACAAACACCTGTACCACGAGAAGGCTGTGGTAATAGTCATCCTGTACTGAAATAACCATCAGAGGGCACTGCAAAACATGCTGTGCTAAACAGAATTATGCAATAGCTCTGTCTGAAGCTTCCATGGGCATGCGAGTTAAAAATCCAAAATGGAGAAGTTCAGCTGTGTAAACTGACTCACTAATGCTTACATGCTGCTATTTACAAGTGTTTTCAGTTCAGGTTTTCTCTCACACACACTTCAGCTTACAGCAAAGCTATATAGACGACTTCTCTTTTTAAAGCACAAAAGAATTCTCAGCTTATCTTGTGGTTTACGATGACTTACTGTTGCTATTAAGAAAACAGTAACAGAAACCGGACTCTGTATCCTGTTTGCTATTGCCATATTTGGGAAAAACATGCCCCAACTGCAACAAGAGCTTAAAAAAGAAAAGGTGATGATATCTGAATACTCTAAGTTGTCAAGTACAATACTTAAAGAAAACTACGTGCTATGTTACGAATCACAAAAAGCCTTTTTTTTCAGTTCAAAGCCTTCCACTGAGTACAGACTGCTTGCCAAATTCTCCCCTCTCTAGCATACCTACTACAGTCATTTCTCATCTTTAAATTTCCTGCTTCAAAGGCAGAGGTTTCCGAGATCACCTTTCCCATGTGCTTGTAACAAGTGAAGCCAAGTTACAAGTAAATATTTTATTTGTGTACAGAACTCACAGCACCTGAAAATCTGCCGCCCCTGAAATCTGTGAAATTTTCCATTAGTTTTCTGAAAGTCAAGGTGTGTTAGGAAAAACAAAACAGTAACACGAAGCTAAACTTCTTACTAGGAAAGAAATGTCTACGGTCTCCCAGGAAATGTGGAAAAAAGACTACAGAAGACTTAGATGAAGACAGACTTTAGAGGAATATTTAACATTTTTCTGTTCTGCTATGTAGGTAGAACACTTAATAACAAGTCATGAGAATCACAGAATTGTAGGGGTTGGAAGGGACCTTCTACAAAGGAGACTCCATCAACTCTCTGGGCAGTCTGTAGCAGTTTCTGTTACCCTCAAAGGAAAGAAGCTTTTCCTCATGTTCATATGGAACTTCTGTCTTCCAGTTTGTGCCCATTTTCCCTTGCCTTGCCACTGGGCACTATCAAAAAGCATCTGACCCCATCCTTATGCCTCCCACCCTTTAGACAATTATAAGCATTATTAAAATCCCCTCTCAGCCTTCTCCAGGCTGAACAGCCTAGGCTTCACAGTCTTTCCCTGCACAGGAAATGCTCCAGACCCTCACCTTCTCTGTGGCCCTCTGCTGGGCTCTTTCTGGAAGCTCTCTATCTTGCTTGAACTTAAGAGCCAAGAACTGGACCCAGTACTCCAAACGTGGCCTCATCAGAGTGGAGTAAAGGGGAGGATCACCTCCCTTGACCTGCTGGCCATGTTCTTTTTAATACCCCCCAAGGATACACTGATCTTCTTGCCCACAAGGCAACTGCTGGCTCATGGCCAAACTGTTGTCCACAAGGTCATCCTCCATAGAGAGAAGTACCATGTATTATAGGCTGTCACTGTTCTTGGTCATCCAGGGAAGGGCTCCCAGCAACTCACAATGCAGAGGCAGTTGCCAGTTCTGCTATCACAGCCTCTGCCATCACAGCCTCAACGCTACCAAGTCTTCTCTTTCTTTAAGCTTTGTCTCCCTCATGCCCACATTCTTCTCAGTTGCAAACCCATGTGGTTTCATCCAGGATGGGATTATAACTATCTCACTTGACTTCCACCTTTTTCTCTCCTCCACACTGATCTCCCCTGCTCTGGACAATTGTTCTAGTCCCCTATTCCTCCTTCTATTCCACTCCAGTTTCTATACCCTTCTTCACTCCTACTTTCTTCTCCTATCTCTTATCTGTTCTTAAACCCCTGCCTTAGTATGCTCTTCTTTCCTTCTGCTTCCTTCCTTTCCACCAGCTTTTGTAATTTCCAGTTCTGAGTCTTTTTTAGACTTTTACATTCTTTTAAAGCATTAAAAAAATTAATCTATATCCAACATATTGCTGCCAAAATGCAATGAAAGAATTCAATTATATCATGCCTTGGATTTTCGTTGTCATTCTCATATTAAAAGTTGTGTTCAGTATTAATGAAATCAAAGTCAATTTTCTTTAACAGTGATAGCATAAATAAAGGAGAAAAAATATTGTGGAGTGCCTTCATATTATTACAACCATAATCAGAAAATCTCATACTAAGAGGATAGAAGATTTAAATGTGAAGAATGTGTTTAGTGAATTATTGTCAGTCATTATATATACAACAGGATAAGAATAACCTTGAATGGCAACACACCAATTATTATAAATTCCTAAGTATTTCATTACTTCAAAATGTCACTCTCAATTTACAGAGTAACAGATAAACATCTCTCAGTTGCACTCCTCACTGTGTCTTCTCTGCACTTGAAACACTGTTTTTGAAAAGCTGTGTCATCACTTACCCATTCTGCATTGTTCTGAATGGAGATTCTGTACTGGCATAGTTCTGGTTTTCAAGATGGCTTTTAAATCTTCCTTTAAGCAAATACACTTCAGAGATATAAATCTGTTTCTCCTTTCTACCTACAGCTTTATCTGGTCACTAGAAAGAAAACCTGATTGCTATTTCCTTCTATGAGCATATTCCACTGCAAAAGCAAAGAGTTGCTCATGACTAATAATCAGAGAAAGGAAACAAATATGAAAGTAACAATCAACCAGTACGGAGGAGGTTTTCTTTTTGAAAGAGACCTAACTACATACACAAAAGAGACATTATTTTTATCCCAGGTATCAGAAGAGGCACATTAAAATGTGCCATACCCAACTTCATTGGCTAAAGAGACATTTGGTTATTTTTGCATCCCCAATGATTTTTGGAAGCCAGTAGGCATCTGCAATAACTTTCAACTCTCACCTCATCCTTTATATCCTCCTGCTGCTGGGCACTGAAGATCTCCATTGCAGCCATCAGCCTCATCATCAGCTCATCCACTGTCGTGTTACCTAGCAACAAAGGAGGACCACAGAAATTCATAGCATTAAAGTTATTAAAAAATAAAAAAAAGTCATCTTAGAATTGTTCTGTAAGAAAGAGCCAGCTCAAAAAAGACAGAAGAAATATCTGAAATATCTCAGTAGAATTATTTTAACTGAAAATTCAGAATTGTTTTTGCAAGCAGATATTGACCACCGGCTAAAATTTTGAGTGGCCCAAGTCTGAAATATTGGTTTATATTTTGCATGTTAGAGAGCAGTAGTACACCTGTGGCTCCTTGACATGATTTTTACAGGCTTAGAATTCTTGAATAAAACCAGGGCAACCCTAACCCCAGCCCTCCTTATGTTTTTCTAGCAGTGTGTGTTTGGTTTTCAGTAAGACTGAAATATTATTTTAACTCCCTACCAAGATGCTCTCAGACCTTGGTTTCTCTTAGTCTCAGGACCAGAGTGTACTTCAAAGCTATGATTATTTCTTTGTGAGAAATTTGCTATAAACAAATACCTGCCAACTTAAACAGTCTTTGGACACTGACAGAACAAAGCCATTAGGAGCTACATTTATGCTGACAACGATGGTCAAAATTTTACAAGGAGTACCCTAACCAGAAGCAACAGTACCAATAAAGAAAACAAAACCATACCCCCAGTTTCCAACCCCAGTAAAAAACAGAAAGCAAAAGCAACCTTTGGCAGCCTGCATTTCAATAAATGCCTTTAGGACTTAAGTTTCTGCGTTGCTGTATCTCTTCTGCAAACAGTGCCTTCTCACCCTGCCCTGAAAGGCCCTCATTGTTCCTATTTCTAGCATTTGCTACCTTAGTGGAAAATTTTATCCCGAGTGCTACAACATGCATGACTCCAGAGAATACCATTCATTTGTGGATAAATAGTTAGAGATACCAACGTCCCAATTCGTGGGAAAGTAACAAGCACAGAACATTTGGGTTTGATAGAATTTGAATCCAGGGATAAATTTATTTAAGGTTGTAACTGATTATCACTTCAGTGCTAAAGTTATTTAAACACACACAATTAAAACTTAGTGAATGCAATGAAATAATTTGAATCACTTCTTAATATAAAACTACATTATTTTATGGCTCCAAGCTACCAATTTTTTCAGACAGCTGAGTAATTCAAGTCAGTAGGCACCACTGACTAGAGTGGGATAATACAGGTGCTTCAGGTTATACAAATGCTCAACAATGCTAAGGAGTTATAAAAACAAGAAAATTACTATGTTCTTTGTTATGTTTTTAAATTTTTTTTATTTATTACTTTTTTAATAATTAATAGGCATACTGTGAATCAGTGTTGTGCTGTACTTTGCACTAAAGAGACAAAAATCCATGCAAAATTAATTGTTTTGGCCAGAGGAATGAGCACTGCAAATTCCTCAAGAAAATGACTAATCTCACAAGCAGAAAGAAACAGTTACATTGCCTGTAAAAGGCAGCATTTCCTCAGGGTGAATTTCCTCAGAAAAGCAAGGATATTAGAATAAGAACTTCTGGATAAAAAGAATAAAGAAAAACACAGTGTCATGAACACAACCTTGTGGAGGAAGAAGAAATGGGAGGTACCCATCCTGTGATGCATTTTAATTTGAAGAGTTACTGAGAACAGCTGAAGGGCGTTCCACACCAGAGTCACCTTACTGCCAGAAATAGGAGCACAGCAATGCTGCAGAGAACTGCTCACGTTCAGCCAGAGAGCTCAGTTCATATGAAATTCTATCAGCAACTTAAAGTTCTGATCCTGTTTGGGATCTCAACACCACAGGCAGGTCCGACAGAGCAACTGATGTTCAAATATTATCCCACTGCACACAACTGGAGTCCGCCCATTGACAAGGAGCTACTCACAGAACAGAATGATGCTGGTGCAACACAGAAAATCCCAGAGAAAATATTTTGAAAACTCAGGGATTTATCTGGTCATGTGTTTGGAAAACTACAAGTAACTCCTGGTTTGGGAGATTTGGTTTCTGCTTTTAAAAGTGTAAAACCTAAAGTACATCACTCATGGCAAATTCAATCTCTAACAGGATGCCAAAGAACGCCTTGTGAATAATAAAGCCTTTTACAGCGCAGCAACTGCAGGTTTCTTAGGTGTGATAAATTCACTTTCTGATCATCTTAAGAAAAGAAACAGTTACAAGGATGTCTTCAAACACTTTCAATACCCACTTAAGAATTATTTCAATATAAAGCAAGGGCTGTACCTTGTATTACATTCAATACTTCATTAGATGATCGTTTTCCCATAATAATAAGGAAAAGTGGAAACTGATCCGTCTTCTGAGTTCGAATTGTTTGGGCTACAACACTCCCGAAGTGTCTTGTGCACATTGTCAGAAACCTACATGGGGGGAAAAAAGCAGCAGTTAACACAGGGGAGTTGGTTTTGAAGTTACTGTTTAAAAAATACTTACACTATTCAGCAGTTCAGTTGAGTGCCACTGCTTAACGTGTAGGCTTCTGTGTTCAACTCTAGAGTTCCTCATCCCTTTTTATGATCAAATTATGAAAATATTTACAAATATGATAGACTACAGATTGCCTACATTGAAACAGTAACTAGGAGAGATGGTGATTTATTCAATGGAGAATCCTATTTTCTGCTACAGTGCTGCGCAAGCTGTAATATAAAACCAACCCCTGCAAGAAAAATCATGCTAAATGAATTGCTAGAAACTTCTAAAGAACAACTAAGATATTACCTGGTGAACATGAGAAAGTATCAAAACAGTGTAATTTCATATGAAAGCATAATTTAAGAAAACGTTTTTATCAGTCAGAGAATTAAAGGGTGCTTCAAAATTGTCTCTTCTTTTGTACCAGTGCCCTGTCAGTGACACACTTTGCAGTGTGGTCGAAAAACAATAATTCTAAGCTTTTGACCAAAAAAGCTCTTGGATATTAGCATACAGAAGTCTAGCATTAGTATTCTTAACACGATCTTGAATAAATGAAAAAACTGATAAAGCTTTTCTCTTCCATTAGAGGACTGTTTGAAATTAGCATTTCTTTCAAGAGAAAAGGGTAGCTTATGATATGTTTTCAGATCTGATGGTAAAAAGTAAATGTCATAATAATAATGAATTATGAAAGACCAAATGCAAATATAGAATGCTTTAATAAGATCCAATTTAATAAAGTCTGTAAAAATAATGGACTTTTAATAACACGGGTCACAAAAGGCAAAACAGTGGAAATTCTGAGGACTAGCCACTGGTACAGGCTTATTAATTCTTAATTATGTTCATGAAAGGCAACTTAAATCGTGTGTTTTCTTATGCCTTATGATAATATTTTAGGTAACAACTACTCGGAAATGTATGCTCTAACTGAAGAGCAAAGTCCTGTTGTCACATGCATTAGAAGCCAAATCTATTTGAAAAGACAGACTGCATTAAAATGTCAAGCACTCTAAGTCATTTCTTCTCAAAAGATACCGAAAAGATTCAAAAAGGTATTTTTTTTTTTAATCAACATATATTAAACCTAATAAAATCTCTAAAAACTGAGAAGCCTCCTGAGTACAACACGGGGCCTCTTTGAGGCACTGAAAGTATAAAATACCCTTCTGACTTCATTCTGGAGTACAGCTATGACTGCAGGGCAGCCCAGTCTGGTGGGTGGCAACCCTGCCCATAGCAGGAGGGTTGGAACAAGATGGGCTTTAAGCTCCATTCCAGCTCAATCCATTCTGTGAGTCTACGATTCCACGAAGCAGGGGTAGCCAGCAAGTACTTCAAGGCCGTAAACGTCACTGGCAGATATGACTCCACGTGCCCATTGAAGTAAAACATAGGAAAGCCAATAAGAAATGTATGGGTAGTTTGGAGATGCAAAGCTGAATGAGGAGATACCACCAGCAGCCTCCAGCACCTGCACTGCAGGGCTCCTGCTCAGCAGGAATCACTCACACGCACCAGCCATAGCAGGGCAGCGCTACGTGAGTGCTGAGCTACTCCTCAGAACATCTCTTCCTTTCTGTTTATTGCACGGCTAGGAACAGGACTTTTATTCATGATCACCCTTCCATTTGACCTAATGCCTTCTAATAGATTTTGCAACTACATTAATTTTGCCTTTTTTTTTTTTTTCTTTTCAGCCTTTCTCGATTCTGTAATTGCTGACCTTTTTACTTGTTCCCATATTCATATCTAGCAAAAAATCTACTTTTACTAATATTTACTATCTTCCAGAAATACGTACATAGGACCAAAACAATTTGTGACAGCCTGCAAGAGAGCTCTTATGCTTCTTACATCTTGTACAAAGGTTTCCCGGATGAGACCATTTCCTAACAGCTAATGTAGAACAAGTGATACTGAAATATACCCCTGGCATTACATTTTCATGTAATTCCATCATAAAATGCAACTTAATTTTACTTTTAAAAAGCTTCTAGAGTGACAATTACAGAAAAATAACAGCTTCAAAAATCCACTGAAAAAAGTTTTAAATATTACTGAGCCTCAAAAGCAAAGGGAACATTTGTTACATCTCCAGTCTATGGTCTATAGGAGCTCCTGATCGTAGATATGTTGCATAAAGCTTTGCAAACACATGGATTTAGCAATAATTAACGTGGTTCTTATGAGAACATGCAGCTTTAATTTTTAAGAATAAAAGTGGCCACTTTTGGCCAAAGTGTTCATTGGCCAAGGTTTTATCTCAGACCTCGAGACTTACTGATCTCCAGGAAGCTTTTGATCTCTGAGAGACCTCCATATACTTTAATGGGTAGGAATCAAGGGAATGTGGCCAGGCTGCCATGGGTGGTGCCCAGAGATTGGCCAAAAGGCAACGGGCACAAACTGGAACACAGGAAGCTCCATACAAACATGAGGCAAGACTTCTTCACAGTGATGGTAACTTCTTCCAAAACATTTATTCCCTGTCAGTCTGAAATTATGTTCAGCCCACAACTCAGATGACACTGGGTGGAAAAAGGGGGCTTCATTTACAGACAGGTGCTTCCCAAGGCTAACCTTACTTCTTAGAAACTTCAAAACTTCAGAAATGGCTGTGAAAAAGATGAGATTTCTTTTTTTGAGTGTGAGGAAAACAATGATGAATATTAAACATGCAATGTTCCTGATTATTTTTAATAATAATTATATACTGTGCAAAATCAACATAAAACTCATTAAAATGTTAATGTAAAAATAACATTTTTGTATAAGGTATTTACATTTTTAAAAAAGTAAAAGTTGAGGTCAGGAAGTGGTATATTTAAATAAGCTTGCTATCCACAGCCATCATGATACAGAGTTAATGTCCTACCCACACTGGGGGGGTCATGGCTGTTGACTCAAATACAAAGGATGATAAGCAACAGACACAAGGTATGGTCTAAAGGTTTATAAAGCAGCCTGAATCAAATGGTGTGGATATTCTCTTCAGTATCCATAAGCAAAACATCCAGGGATTCAGATGTAAAAAACATGATTTTATCCACTTTTTCTTTATGCAAAAGTAAAGCTTAGATGAGTGGATTATCTAACTCTTCATACAGTGTGGAAGATCTAATTTCATCCTGTCAGGCTCACACAGATTAGGTAAATACCTTATAACTCTGTTCAGTCTAAAATACGTCTAGCTAGAAACTCATTAATCCATCCTTTCAGGCATCAGTGACACCAGGAAAAATTACTGGTAAAAGTATAAATGAAATGTATCTGCACCCCTTGCTCAAATGCTGTGCTAAAAATGGAAACCTAAGGATGCACTTGCCTTTCAGTGGTTGTTTCCATCAGTCTGTTGTAAAGAAAGACACACAGCATGATTTGCTAAGGAATATCTAAGACTGTTAGTTAGCTCTACCATTAGCCTAGTTAAAAACAGAGTTTATATATGGTAGTGAAGCGGGAGAAGCTACAAGCATACTAGGAGTCTGTAAAAGAATAATCTTCGGAAATCAGAGAAACAACGTGATAAATGCAATTCAACACAGCCACTGAAACTCTCCAAGCAAAAGAGCTCCACAAATACAGAGCAAGAATCAAGTAGATAGGGAGGAAGAAAAATTCATGATGTGAAGAAGACGCTGGGGTGAGTAATCAGAAGCATGGTTTGCACAACATGAAATAATCCTCTTTCTTATTTAGTGCTAACAAAGCAGTTTTAAGCACAGTACACCAGTAAAAACCAGAGTGTACCAAGATTTAATTGTCACTGATTGCTGTAAGATAAACTCAGGTGAAATATCAGTGAGAACTGCCTAAATGCAGAGAAAGCCAACTACTGGAAGTAGTTGAGAAGAGCTGCTGAAAAATCTCCCTCACATCAAAGATCAAATCTGACAGCCATGGGTCAGGAATGACGCAGTACATTCGAGCCTTCTGGCCAGGTATGGACTAAACACTAAATCTGCAGCTCTCTGACGCCTGCTGACAGTCAGAGTGGTAACAAAGAGGAGAGCAGAGAACTCAAAACAGAATCATTTTAACCCAAGGAGGACAGACACCCACACTTCTGCAGAGCGGGGTGTCAGACAGACACTCCACCAGGTGCTCTGCAGTACTAAGGAGATTCAGCCGTGCCTTCCAGCTGTATTTTAGTACAAATTCTGACTCTGCCAGCTGAATGACTTCTGATGGTTGTTTTAGACACCCTCATAGACACAGCTCAGTTTCTCTAGAGCTCCCATTCCACCTGGCATTAGACTTCACTGGTGCAATTGTGGAATCCGGTGTTTAAATGGACCTGTGAATGAGTTCCTTCTTCTATCTCAAGGCAGCTCAACAGGTCTGCCTTGTCTACACATTCTTCTGCCTGCAGTTCTTACACAGGATGGTACAGAAGTTGATTTCTTCCCATTTTCTGTTCAAGAAGTACAACACGCCGCAATTTGAATACAGCAGGACAGAACTTGCTTTAGGATTTGTTTTTATAATGAGAACTTAAAATATACACTTGCAAATGTATCCACAGTTAGTTTCTGGAGCTTCAGTAATTCTTTTCAGATGACCTTAAAGCATTTTCACAAGTTCATAACTTGACAGAATAAAAACTTCAATCAAGTTAAACAGAGAGACCGCTTCCTATTTATAGCTGAATATTACGGAGACATCCATATCTTCCTAATCACAACCAAATTAAAATGCATTCTATATTCTGTACTGCCTTGTAGTTTTCCAAATTTGGGCATTTGCAGATTAGTACCATGGAATTACCTTGAAGTATATAAATATTTAAAGAAGGATAGTTTACCTTTTCTAGTGGGCATATAATAAACAGTTTAACCATCATCTGTATACAGGCTGTTTTGTTCCCTGTCTAAAGAGACAATCACCTTTTATCCTTTTCCTTTTTTCTTCATTTCAGTGCTATTAGGAAACTATTCACAAGTGCAACCCTGAACAATACTACGCAGTAATTATGACTAGATGACAAAGAGATGTGAACAATTACTGAGCCCATTTTGAAACCCTACACTAATAAAGTCATTAGATGCTGCCCTTGCCATGAGCCTTCTAAAAGCTTCTGAAGTTACAAGAACACACGGCATTGTTCGTTAGGACAATTGCTGTTGGCAGAATGCAAACCTTGAGTTAAACCATGCTGCAAATTGATCTTGACATTCTGTTAAGACCGCCACTAAAATCAAAAGCAAAGGAGAAAAGGAGAAAATGAGCGGGTGGGATGTAATCATGGAACAGAAGGGTTCCCTCCTCACCTTCTTTCCTCTTCCTCCTCAAAACAAACCATACAGAAAATAACAAACTCGCCTGGTGCTTGCGATCCTTTATTTTTAAAACATTAATTAGACTTTTGACCTGTTTTTATGGACTCACACCGTATTGCTATTAAAGTAAATTAAATATTACAAAATACACTAGATAAGGTTTTCACACTGTTCTGTGAAACCTGTTAAGGATTTGATACCCAAAGAACAAGTCAACAGTTTTGCAAGCAACATATCTACGGCCACTCGTCAGGAGGCAGCGAGAAATTAACTCACCAAGCCCTGCACTGTCAGACCCCACACCTGCAATACATTTGCTGAAGGATCTAATAGGATTGGGGAGCTAGAGAAGTATGGTCAACTGGTCTTCATCCAGGCATGCATCATTCAGTAGGTTAGTATCAAGGGTCAGCAGCTGTGAATATGGCTAATTACCTGATGACGGAAATTGCAGGTGAAGACAACATGCTGCTGAGAAGCACTTTGGTCAATTAACTCTTTCCTAAGCTTAAGCAAAAAGAAAAACTATCATTTGAACATTAGAACTAACAAGTACCTGTCATCAGAGCTGAGAAAAGCTGGCAACACCTTGAAATACAGCACCCAAGGGCAAAGATAGCAAAAGCTGAAAAGCTGCCTACTGACATTTGAGGTGCTGTTTTATGGTTTGGGCATTGCTTTGCTCAGCAAACATGTACTTTGGAAACCTGTTAATATTATGCATAAGCTGTATTTGTAAATGCTCTGTGTACAAGCATAAAAGCAAGTGTGCAGGTGTAGGTATTCGTGTATTTATGAATATTCATTATATACATATATTTATACCCAGTACATGTATTACGTTAATATATATTAATGAATTAACAAAAGTAGTTACACATGTGCTTGCACACATATATACACACATACACCCACTATACACACACAGGCACAAAATTATTTCCTAATAATGGTGTTCAGACAACTCTCTGAAGACCCAGGGTGCCAGAACTACAGCTGCTCACGTCCAGCCCTGCAGATGAGCTCTCCCAGAAACCCTATGGAAATTCAAGGCAGTACTCAGCCCATGCAATGCCCCAGTGCAGCTGGTGGGCTGCTGCACCCTGGCCCAGAGTGTGCTACTATGGGCAGGCACTACTACTACTGCAGACACTACTACTTCTAACTGCATTTCTGCTGCTTGAGGGTGGCACAGTAGCCAATCTTCATGTGGCAAGCCAAAGAGTGATTGTTAAGCTCAAGATTCATCCCAACTTGAAAGGAATACAAGAAGAATGTAAACGTTATATCTGTAGCTTACTCTTTTCCCTTTTGAGTCTCAAAAAGCTGAAGTATAAATACTTCTAAAGAAGTCCATCTACAGGACTGAAAACCTGTCCTAGTACTCACACTGAAGTGTTACTAATTATGGGTACAAAAAAAGTTGACCCAATCCCTCCTGCTTTCCCATGCTGGCTTGGCTTTAATGCCACTCTACCGGAACCAATAAGTAGCTTTTGGATTACACTACTTTTCAGAAAATGTGAAAAAAAAGTAACAGTTCCTCTTGTTTTCTCACCCTCCAAACAAAGCTATGTGCAACCATATTTGTGGGGAAACAGAACAGAGTACTCCAGGAGCACTGTCATTATGCTGCATAATGGAGGGTAGTAATTAAACAGAGGTACTGCATATTTATTTATGGGAATGCCTACAGTGCATTGGCACTCTCCAAAGAGGGACAGAAGCACCACACACCACCCTCTAAAGAAATCGCAGGAGTAGGACGAGATACTAAGCATAAATGACAAATTATTCCAATTCAAGCCAGCCTGCCTTGTTCACCCCTTAATATTTTTTGACCTCACTGTTAATATGACAGTTTCTTTGCTGCTGTTAATAGAAAGAAAGAAAAAAAAAAAGAGGCTTAAAATCCCTATCGTACTACACAATTGGTGACCAGGTTCATTGAGAATAGCTATAAAGACTTAAACAAGCCCTTTATTTTGTGTTTTAAGAAGTGTCATAAGGAGTTAATAGGACACAGCTGTACAGGCTCTTTCTAATAAGCAGCTTCTGTCGCTTTGGTCACCACAGGTGTCTCTGTAACCTGCAAACTCTTATTACTAGTGTATCAAAGTTGTGCTACTTAATAGATTTCTTTAGTAAAACACAACAAAGCAATTACATGGCTGTTGATCGTCAGTCATAAAAAAACCCCTCAAACACGGTTTTTCAAAAGAAACTACACTGCAATTTTTTGTCATTGTAAAATAAAAGAAACTAGAGAATTAAATAGAAAACCAAACAATGGAACAGCAGGTAGTCAGCTGAACTTAGCCACTACAGATGGTTTAGAAATAGTGTTTCCTTCTACACCAAGTTGTGGGATAAAAGAAAAGGAGGAGGCTCCTTACTGCCAATGAATGGCAATACCAAAAGACTTAAGCAAGCCTCCCGTCTATGTATTTGGTGAAAGACTCTAGATGTTTCTTCTTCCTCTCTTTCCCTTTCCTGTTTGTTTTTGTCCCAACAATCTTCAACTTTCTCTAGACTAAATTAAACTAGGATCATAATCACAGATTCATACAGCGACAAAACGCAGAAGATCTACTGAGGAATTCCTATGAAACATGAGTCATTTATAAAGCATACTGTTAGACAAGGAGATTGTTCTGTTCTCCCTTGCCAACTTAATGTAAAGAAGCATTAGCTATAATTTAAATATTTAAGAATATGAACGCATGAATTTTATACAGCAATAGCCAATTTCTAGCAAATCACAAGGAAAATAAGGAAAGATATACTTTTAATTACTCATTAATCAATGGAATTATGTGAAAACTTGCTTCTTTATCCCAGGCCAAAGGACTGCTGCACCTTTTGTTCCCATGGTAGAATAATTATCACTATACAGTAATATACGTGAAGCATTAAAAAATCCAAGTAGCCTTCTGTATAAGCAATGGTGATGAAACAGCAGCTGAGTCAGAAAACCAGACAGGCCCAATTTCTAGAAATAGTCATAAAATTGGTATTTTCAACAGTTTATGATCAACTGATAAATAACAAAAGGAGAGAAAAGCATTAAGGTATGAAAATTTGTTGGTAACACCCAAAAAGAAGTAGAAGGAAGTGTGATCTATGATGTTTTAGCTCCTTTACAAAGCAGTAGCATGATGGCCTAAGATACAGTTAAGTTTTTCATTTACAATTTGTGTTAAAACTTATTAAACACCACCAATGGAATGTTCTGGAAGCAACTCGGGAGTTCAAAAAAAATTCTGTATGATTTGCAAGCTTTAATTTCTTTTTCTAATCTGTTTTTAATATGTATTTACCGAATTAATGTTGTTTTTACACAAAGCAAGACTTCACTAATAAAAGTATTTATTCCAAAGCATTACCCAGACAGTCCTACATGTGCAGTAGTAGTGTAGTATATACCTGCACTACAATACACATGCTGAAGAAATGGTTCCAACACATTTGCAGAATAAACTCTGAAGCAATAAAAGGAACTATTTTTATTATTATTATTTACTATTTTTCCTATTCAGGAATAAGTCAATTTGAAATGAAAACAAGGAAGGCTCAATTCCTAATGCATATCAGACAGCACGATTTCACTGATCAGCTATGAACAAGCAAGTTTTTAATTCAAATAAATACCAAGCAACAAGACATGTGATACACAGAGGTGACACAGAGACAAGCTTTTCCACTTACAGTCCAAAGAGCCTTACCTTGCTCTGTTTGCTTCTTTTGTCATGTCCCACGCCCAGGTAATGAAGTTCTGACTCAGATATGAGACAATAGATTCAGCACACAGCATTTGCGAGCAGAAGACGTTGGTTAGTACGCTTTCATCATGGTGGAGGTAGATAGCAAGAAGCTTTCTCTGAAAAGACATGAGAAAAGATTGAACAGAGAACATTTCCTCACTGTTTAGTAACATAAAATCACTGCTGCAGATTTGTACGTCAGTGCACCCAACGGCATTTACTGAAGGTGCCGAGTGCCTCCAAGTGCACACACTAAAAAAAATAACAACAATGGATTTCAAGGCAAACCATCCATCCCTCTTCCTAAAACTTTTATTTCAGGCACCACAATATAAACTTTGAACATTGAAAACAACACTTCAATACAAAAGCAAAAATTGCATTAAAAGACTTAGCTTAAAAAAATGCTTGAACTTTTTTGGCTTGCTATCCAATAAAGATAACACTTGGAACAATTCCCTGAGCAATGAATGCACCCCTTAACACTGCAAAGTCTATGATTCTTAACAAATACAATTTATACAACCTTAAAAAAATGACAGTGTATTATTATCACCCATCTGTAGCCAGATAAAAGAAGAAATCAAGTAACTGCAGAACTGTCCGCAGTCCCAAGGCCTGTGATGCTGCATGCTGGATGTTCCGGCAGCTCTCCATGCAGTCGTATGGTGTGGGGAGGCCTAAGGCACATCCACCTCTCACCTGCTTTGTAAGCCCATGTGCGGTCAAAAGGCCACACACCAGCCTGGCTGGCTACATCTCTGAGCTGAGCAGGAAGGCATCTGTCCTAGCACTGCAAGCATGTAGGACAAGTAAAGAAAGCAGCTTCAGAATCACAGAATATCCTCTTCCCTGGTCTGAGCAAACCAAGGGACCACAGCTGCTCCTCACAAGCCATCACCTCTAGAGATGGGTAACAGATCAGATGAGAGAACCCACTCTGCATTTCTGAGCTCTGATATATCTCACCATAGTTGCTATGTCATAAAGACTAGATGCTGGAGATGGTGTTTGTGTCTCCCAAAACCAGAAAAACTTTGCCTTACTTTTTCTGAAATCCCATCAAGTCATATTTGAATGTCACAGGCAGCAGCATACAGCTGTGCTGTGCCCCCATGATACTTTCTGGAAACGGAGTCTATGTGTACACAAGACAAGAATGCAAATTTGGAAAAATATAGGAAAACTATAAGCTAGGATCACAATCCCATATGTGGTAATCAATCAATTACAAACAGCATTCAGAAAACTGCAATGTTCCACTCACAGCCACCACATTTTAAAATTTTACTTGAAAATACTTTCTTAGGCCATCTAGTGAATGGTATTTTCAGACTTTTATTTAAAGGTCATTTGAAATCTCTTCATTATAAGTAAGACAGATATGGCAAAACACGGGAGGCAATTTTGAGACAAATTTTCTATTTTAAAAAAACTTGAAAGCTACAACCTCCAAGACTAGCTTTGGATAAAATCTAACGGCTGTTTATAAAAAGAAGAATACACTTGAACATTAGACTTTGGGAAAGGGATTAGTAATTTGCATTAATGTTTGTCTAACTTAATTTAAATGTTCTTCAGAACCAAGTACACATGTGCCAAGAAGGGCCATTAATGAGCCCAACAGGCAGAGATCCATACAAGAGCAGCCAACAATGTTGACTGAAACTAAACTTGAAAATCCAGGGCACTAATGCGCAATATCAAGCAATAAAACAGCATTTCTGTGGTGATATTTAATTTAAAAAGAAGAAAGAGGCAGGGGAAGATCAGGCACTGTCTGTTTCTGAGGATCAGCCATTCTGCATTTCAAAGCGTCGATCCCTGCAATATCCAGGTTACTGTGCTAGAATCTCGACTATTATATAGCACTTGTAAGAGAGGGAGGGCAAAGATGTGTTTACTCAGTGATTAGGGCCATAGAATAAGCCTCTAGCTCCTAGAGAGACAGCTCACCACTTATTCATTTGGACCAATTCACAAAGCCTAGAAAGATTAAACATCCATGCTGAGAAGACAAGCAAATGCAGACGGTGAAAAAGAAATAAAAATTCTTTAAAAACTCTGAGATGACTTCATTATTTTTTCCACAAGGAAACTTTAGGAAAGTGTTTAGTTAGAGAAAAACCCATATTGACCTCTCTCTAAACCCTTAATCTTTCCTTTGTGGTGGCACTGCTTTGTGGTAAGCGGATGGCTTTGCTCTCCTCTTTTCATGGGGAGCGGGTAGAAAAAAAGGCTCTTGAGAAACACTTTTAGTTCCAAAGAAACAACCCCATGAAACTGTTAAATATGAGATTCCACACAACTGAATGTTTCAAAATATGTACAGTTTTAGGTTCAAAGATTTAGGGACAAATTTTAGTAAACAAAACAGACACATATACAAAAGATGTTTACACTGAGCTACCTTACAAGTGAATGTAATTTGTGTTACATCAGTAAACCTTGTCAGGCAAAGACAAAACTCCATCATATATAAAGATTGTATTCGTGTACGATAATGTGCCCAAAAAGTTCAGGTTGGGCACAGGCACAGTGCTAGGACAAATGAAAGGTGGGAGCGGGAGGAACAGGGCACTGAAACACTGCTTTGAAAAATCTCAATAGAAGGTATTTTGTTCTTGTGTTATTGCAAAAGGCTTGGAATTGATTTTTGGAAGGGGAGGGAGGTTTTTCTTTGTAACCCATGGTAATACATATTTGTAAGGAGATTTTTGTTGATTTAAAAAAAACAAACAGACTAAATTCTAAGATATTAAGATGACTAATAGGGAATGTGTTAGTCAATACAAATAAAATGGGCTTACTAAACTGTTGCACAGTCCTGACTTCTGGGAAAGAAGCCTATTAATGCAGCACTAGTCTGCTCTGTGTTGGGTTTCTCAAAAATATAGGGACTTGTGGGTTACCTACAGAGCACGATTTTTTTCCCATGGTGAAAAGTTATTGTTAGTCCTCAGGTGTGACACACTGAAAAGGTTTTATGTACAAAATATCTCATGCACTTTAAGAGTTAAGCCATCAAAAGATCTGTTTTTCAGCAATACTGCCGTAAGAGTCAGCAAAACTAGTTTCCTCCAGGTTATATATAGTAAAATAACAGATGTATCTGCACATCTTTAAGCCTTCAAAGTGCACAGGTGATTCACCTACGTAAGGTGATCTTAGAGACCACATGCTCAGCTTTCTTGGCAATACTACTTTATCAAACGCCAGTTTTTTTACCTGAGGAAAATGCAAAAGTTCTGCAACGCCAAGGCAATACATCTTAGAACGCCTTCTACTTTGAGAAAGGATCAAAGCAGGAATAAGGCAGACAGATTTATTTATGGGAAGTCTTGTCTCTGTATTACACATAACAGAAGAGAACCTGCTGAAGCCAGCTTTTAGTGCTGTAAAGACAATCAGAGCTAGACTGTACCCCTACATGTTCCTACTGAGATGATCCCTCTAGTCTACTGATATTGTCTTCTGCATTCATATGGCATAGGACATTCCTAAATAAGTTCCAAATTTAATTTTCTATTTTTTGGTAAAACCATCAGTAAAGAAAACCTTTAAAAAGGGAAAGCTGTTCAAGTGGCTAACTGCTCCCAGGTAAAGGTGTGTTTTATTTCAGGCCTGATTTAGTCTACTTCCACGTTCCAACTATTTAATCCTATTATACTGTTCTGTTTCAATCAATTGAACTCGTAGTGATAGCTTACATAATGCAAAGAATAAGCAGTAATTAAAAGCAAATTTAAATACAAACTACAAATCATAAATTTTGAAAGAGGAGAAAATGTAAAATGTGGCAGACAATTTCAATAAAGTTGAATATCAAGCACAGAGAGTGTTGAAGAGATATCCATTCTCAGCACTGACCTTTCTGATAGGAACAATGAAGCAGAATAAAGGGTGTGCAGGCACACAATGAGATTACAAAGCTGGTATGCTGTAGCAAAAATTTCTAAATAGTAATTATCCACAAGTTCAGAATTAACTTAAGGATGAAAGGATAGAACTGCTAACAAATGCATCAGACTAGACTGGACAGTATGAATGAAATTAAGGTGCAGAGGCTGGTGCTTCCTTAGCATAGACAACCTCAGAAGGGGCTACTTCAAGGGATCTAATGGTAAGCATTAGCTGAAATAATGAGGGACATCTTTCTGAATACCACAAATAAAAATTGTACTGCAGAAATCTCTGTATGAAGGAATAGTCAAGCTAAAACCAAAATAACATAGAAGAAGAAAAAAAAATAAAGGAAAATAAGGTTGTATTTAACATGCCAAATCACAGAAAGAGCATACTTTCTTCTAGGTATTGAGGAAATTAAGTACTCATACGTGAGAGGAATGGTTCTGCCACTGAATTGAACCTAGAAGACAGAATTCAAAGAGAAGAAAAACACGCTTCATTTTCAGTATGCAGGAGTATATATTGAGGTGACAATACCAATCTGTGCTAAGAGAGATGTTTCACATATTTATTAAAAGTCAGCGGACAGAAAGGTTGAGAGAGGGGCAGGAGGTGATCTGACAGAGGTATATAAAGATAAGAGCTATTGAAAAGGCAAAGCAGATGTATTTATCCTTTCTCAAGAGTAGCAACCACCTATAAAATGGAAAGGTAAACAAAATTCAAGATAAAAAAATACTTCAGTATTACCAATAAATAGGATAGTGAGATTCAGCAGCAAGATCAAGGTCTTGTATTAGTAAGAACACCACTGTAAGTTAAGATAAAACTCCTGATGCTTTAAAACACAATATATCCATAAGCTGCTTCCACTTGTAAAAAAAAAAAAACCTCCTGCAAACATCCTGTTTGAAATTATCCATTATAAATCTCATCTCAGGCCTCTCTTCTAGCTTTTTCCATGATGACCTAACTGCTTGAGCAAGAGTAAGCTTGTATTTCATAAACTGACATGACTGAGAAATGTTTCTTCCAAATGGGCACAAAAAGTAGAGGAAAAAATTTCACAAAATGACCCGTTTGTCTAATAAAGCTTTGTCTCCCTTCCTGGCCCAGTTAAAAAAATATATATATATATATTTTGTGCTTTGTCTACAAAACAAGCCTTAGAACTATCAGAGTACAGGAGGTAATTGGGGATTTCATGGTCAGGGACCAAGGAGATCAGTAGGTAAAGGGAAAGCTCTGTATCTTGGCTTAGCTGCATCTGTATTTTTGTGTCAAAGGTACATACAAGTTCTAAAATAGAGCTACATTTGACCTTACACCATCTCTCCTGTCTAGAACAAGCTCTATCTTGGCATTAGACACTATCATACAAAAGAGATCCCCAGCATATGAGTTAGTCTTAGCTCAGATAACTCTGAGAAGAAAAGAAAAAACAACAAAGGTAACAGAAAACATCTGAATTTTTTACAGACTCTTTCAAATACCATTTTCTTATGCAGCTACAAAGCAACATTCTTTCAAACTCCTGAAAATAAGATACATTAAAATTTAGCAGGAAAAAAAATTATTTTGTGTGAAAGAATTTTAACACAATCTGTTTAAAAAGACATGCTCTGACAGAAACTGATTTTCTTAAAATTGCTCAAACTGAAATGCTTCCCCAAAAAAAGCCTTCCACTTCACATCCCATGCAGTGCTCTGGAGAGAAAAAGCATCCACAACGCACATTAAGAACCTGCTGATGGCTGTTTAACTGCACCTCAACTGCAGGATGCACCTTCTGGACAGCACGGAGATTTTGCCGCGAAAAGGCTGAGATCTCTGAGCACTCAGGCTGCCAAGTGCTCTCAAATTAAATCAGTTTGAAGCGGTTTTCATTAAGATGGATTGAGTGTGGCATCGTGAGAAACACTCTATCAAATGTAGTGTTTTACTTAGTGATTAAGTATATACCAGTTGATGAAGCTACCCAAATCCTTCGTAATCCCACCACTCCAATAAACATTTAATGAGTATATAAGTTCAAAAAGCCTAGCAGAGGATTTAAACGTTCAATCTTGTTTTTATTTACTCTTGGAACTCAATTTCTCACTTCAAGTGAAGAATGTTGGTGCCTGAAGCTCATCTGTTGCCCTGGTAAAATTAAGTGCCCTCCATAGTATAAACTAGAAGACAAGACATTCAGGTTGCTATTTCTCTTAAGTTTTTTTTCTGATACTGACAAAAATATTCCATTACAAAAGGCAATTGTAAAAATATAAAATAAGGTATGCCCTTTCCTCAAATAAGAACTCCACAAAGCACTACTGAAAATACTTCTTGGAACAGGAAAAACTCAGTAAAACTAAAAGCTGTTTATCCCTTCTCATATCTTTGCTTAAAATCAGAATCAAAACGACGACATTTCACAGGATTGAGGGGAAAAGGGGTTAAAGGATTCTAAAAATTCAGGCAATATTTGCAAAAAAACATTTTGAGAAAACAATACATTACTAACTGTATTACTTTATTCTGATGAGTATCTAGTCCAAATACATAAAAATATATTAGAAATAAAAGTAAGACATGAATTTCAGATGTGCCATGTAAGTAGTATATGAAGTACTTTGTACTTAAATTACTGCACTGCATTAATATCAGATTTGTAGGTACAAAATATTATGAAAGCTCCTAATGAGTTACACATTTAATGAGATATAAATTAATACTTTGCCACTGAATTACTCTGTGTACATTTATGTTCTGAAATTCAAATACAGACATGAAAGTATTCACTAAATTTAGAGTGTGAGAAAATGGTGCCCACAACATGCCAAGTTAGTGTTAATTTAAGCTACACAAGGCATTCTTATTGTAACCTTCCCTAACACAACATAACTGCTCCTTCCAATATGAATAACCTCAGGAAGCCCAAACATTCCTCATTTTAAAATTAAATATCTATCAAGACGACAAAAAATAAATTGAAACAGCATAAGTTTCATGTTTGTGTTTTAGCTTTATCTATGATTGATTACGCAGGGCTTTGGGTTTCTCCTTAGCGATTTCAAGTCACCAAAACTTAAATAAACTGTTCCCGTTTTAATTTTGTTGAAATACTGATTTTACAAGTGTGCATAGAATAACAGAAACTTGAGACGCCTGGCTGGATGGACAGAAAACCTAAATAACCAATCCTGAGTGCTGGAATTCACTTGGCAGATAAAGGCCATACAAAAGAAAACAGAAAGAAAGGAGTTGTATCTCAAAAACCTTTCACTTTAAATTTACAATTTCATTAGCTGTCCTTCAAAGGAGTTACCAATGTGCTACGTTGAACTTGGCAAACAACAGATTCCCAGCCAGAGTTACATGAGGACACAAAAAGGAAAAGGCAGAGAATTAGAAAAGAGAGAGGAACCCTTATGCACACAGTAACCCATCACCACGATCACTGAAGGACTCCAGCAGAAATACAGCCCGAATAACTACAAATTATTCAGTGGTATTCAGTGCAATTTCAATAACAATCGGAGTAAATATTTTGGTCAATCAACTATATAACTCTTCACAAACAATATAAATAAGACATCCCAAAAGAGTTTACCTTCTTAAAATAAAGATAAAATATCTGCAATGATCTCCGTTTTTCTCCTACATTAAACCAAGTAACTTTAATGCACACTTACATCTCTAGCTTTCCCATAGAAGGCTTCTTGAAAAGCAGCCTCTAATGATCCAATGAAATAAACAGGATGGCAATCACCGTATCTATTTAAGACAGAATTTTCCATTAATAAAAGTTATGACAGTAATTTCAACATTCTGCCTCTTGTCATATTCTGTAAATATAATGCGTTGGCTAAACTATTAGAAGCATGTAGCACTACACTTCTAAACATTTCCCCTCTCTCTTTCATAGGCTATCTGCCCACCAGCACTCAAAAGCTTCAAATAACTAAGTGCTGCCCTACAAATACAAGAATTTTCTGCTTACATACATAGACACCCAAAGTTCCATACATTTTTTCAGTGATAACTTAGTTCTCCATTATATTCTCAAAAGCCAATTGAACTCTATTCTTTAAGTACACATTCATTCAATCTCATTTATATAAAACAACTTTTCATCACATTGGAGTCAAAACAGAAGGCATATAAACTTCACATTAGTTTGTAGAATACTATGTTGCAACTTCTAATTTTTTAAAAATTAAATATTGTAATTGTTTAACAAATCAAGATTTAGCAATACCAGGTTTTTTAAGAAGCTTTTTCTCATTAAAAACAATGATTTATACAGCCATTTCATTAATGATAAAACTACAGCAACTCTGTAGATACTCTTCATTACTAATCAGCTTTAGTCTTTTTGTTTTTGCATATTAAATTAGAATACATAATCATTATAATCCTTCTGCCCATCTACATAATTAACTAATTATATTAATTGATGGCAAATTAAATAAGGCAAGAATCTGTCACTCTAACTTAGACCAAGAAATATTCTATTTCAGAAACAGTTCAAAGTTAAGCTTAAATTAAATTAGATATGCATGTTCAAATGTCTGTGATTATGTAAGAAAATATCTACATACCGTTTATTTTTATTTTCATTTTCATTATTTAAAAAATTTTAGCTCGCTTGTAACAAGAATTAGGCTGTTATAACGTTAGGCTTACCTTGAAGAAAACTCTGCTGTAAATTGTAATAAGGCATCTCCTTCATTTTCAGCATTTTCTGGCACTTTAAAAAAAAAAAAAAGATTAAAAAGATTGAATGCAACCTTATGGAAACAGACTTTAATATTCATACTCGCTTTGCTACATGGATTTTTTATGTTGACAGCTTACTGAAGTGGTTACTGAGAGACCATATGAATTTCACAAAAGAGCACAAACCTTTGGAAAGACAAGGAATTTCCAGACACTCTCATGAATATATGCAGCCTTTCCAAACAGTAAAATCCTCAGGTCCACGGTAATGTGATATTTCACTTGTTCAGAGTTAACATTCTGGACTTACATTAAAATGAAAGGACTGACTTGAAAGCCTTGACTCACGGCATTTCTAGCGACTTCCTTCTTTTTTAACAAAGAACTTTCTAAGCATAATGTTAAAAAGTTTCACGTGTCATTACAGTGTCAAAAATTTGCTATCAAAAGCATTCAAGGTAGTAACAACAATGGAGGCCTAAAAAAATCAAGTATATGCAGAATAGTGTATAGGAAGTAGGTAACTGTTCCTGCTCAATCCTAGTCATAAACTAAGGACAAATAATCACTAAGAAACCTATTAAATGTATTCAGCCAAAAATATTTATCCCCATAAGATGCCAAAACTAAAATTTGCAGAATGTTCTAAAGAGTTCAATCTAAGTTTCTGCAGGTACATTTGGTTGTATATCACCATTTCTCAGAATTAAATCATCATCCTTCAGCTACAAGCCAAAGCAACGAGGTTAAGCAGAAACTTCCTCCATGAGAAGATGTGTTCATTGCTACCAATTATGTTTCCAGTATTTTCATTTAACACATCCAACAGACATGAGATTCACACAATTCTAATGGCCCTACTGAAAAAACAATTCCTGTTTCTTACTGTGCAGACCCATGGCACCTCTCTGCATTCACTAGTGCTGTACAATTATCAGTTAATCAGCGATTAACTTTCAACTCTTACTCATTGGTGACTTCCTCAAGGCAGATGATGCTACCCCAAACATTTCTCCATCATCAACTCCAAACTCTGTAGCATCTTCAAAGTCATCTCCATCACTGTCACTAACCATATGAACATCAGTGCACTGCTGTTTGGAAACAAAAAATCAAAATCCACCATCAATGTCTGTTACAGACATCATTTTCAGTGAAATTCGACGTAAATTCTGAAAAATACTTCCACGTTTCTATGAAACACTTGATATACTGTATTTTATTTTGCTATTTTACACAACACTATCAGATTGCTTTTTATAAATAAGATTTAATTTTCACCAGAAGTATGGCTGACAGAGCAGTATGTGAGACAGCGCTTTATTCTACCTAAGGAGTTGGAATGTATATAAAATGTTGAGAAGAGTTTAGTCTATTTTATCTCAGGTTTGTGGGGTTTTTTTTCCCCATCTAAAGGTACTTCAAGTGGTTTAACTGAGCAAGTAAGAGTGAGAAAGAGATACTAAATCAACCACTAACTTCTCATATCCAGACACAATCTACTTCAGCTCTACTTTCTTCCTAGAGTGTACTTGTAAGTGAAGATGTTCTTACCTCCTCTGACTGTTCCCTTGTTTGTACAGGTGAAGATCTTCTTCCAACTGTAAGTCGATGGCAAGGAAAATTCACTCCTGACACTGCTAGAGTCATCTACGAAAAAAAACAACGAACATTTATTAGAGCTATGGACTCAACAGAGAGTTGTTTTTTTGTGCATGTGGTGGTTTTTTGTTTGTTTGTTAAGTCTGCATAACAACGTTCAAAGAAACAACTATTACTGTACAGAGATTGTGAACATACTGCAGTATTTCTGCTAGGTGTGGAGCTCTAAGATTTATTTTCACCTGCAGATGAAGCTGATAAATAAATCTTCAGGATTTGCAGGGTTTTGTTGCTGTTCTTACATCAGCTATATAAAATCTTCAGGAACAGCCGTGTGGGCAGCAGGTGAAGGTGATTACAGGGAAAAGGACAGTTAACAGTAATTACTTGCACACCTTATAACAAATCAGTTTTAAAGTGATGTATGCATAAGGATTCAAAACAAACTAAATGAAACTGCAGACTCAAAACTGTCCTGAATTGTTCCTTTTTCCCAAGTCAGAACAGAACTTAGAATCACTACTGGTAATTGTCTTGTTTTAAACTGGACAAGGACAGTATCTGTCAAACCTGAAACAATGACAGGCACTGACACAATAGAATGAAAACAGATCATCTAGGAAAAGAAATCAATTTGATTAATTTGGGGAAAAAAAATAACCAAACAAACAACAAAGCCAGGTTTCTCATATAAAGGACAGACACAACTAGTACCAGTTGTGAAACTGTGACAGCATAGATGCAATAGGTGTCCATTAATGTCAGCAGAAACAGCATTTTAGCCTGCTGTTGATAGGCACTGGACACAGCCTGATGCCCTTGTTTGGAAAGCCCACCAGCCCTCTTGCTGTGGGTCTGATGACCTGAGAGATTTCTCAGGAGCACCTAAGCCCTGTCTTGAAACACGTGGGGTAAACTTTCAATGCAAGTAGCCCTTAAGTTAACATGGCTAATTCATTTTGGCAACAAATCCTATTTTTTGTAGAATCTGAACCTGACAAAAAATTTGATTCTGTACATTCCTCAGTGACTCGCAGAAAGGCAGTTCTGGATGCGCCTTCAAAATATTGCTTCTAGCTAATGGGTCCTGGGAAAAAAAAGCACCAAAAGGACAGAAAAAGATTTTCCAGATCCACTCAAAATTACTCTATTTCAGAAGGGCAGAGGAGGGTGACTTACGCTTTGCATTTCAGAACTACAGCACCCTCCTAATTAGACTGTAAAAACCTTAAGGTAAATTACATTTCAATCACCCTTAACAAAAACCCAAGAACAAATCATAAGCCTTAAACTTCATTTACTGCCACAAACACTGGAGATACCCCATTTACTTTTATACATAATTCAGAATGACTTTATCACTTGTCCGCCAGAACTCCCAAAGATTTAATTTGCAGCAGGCTGATTAAGCAGGCTGGTTACCAAATGAACGTTAACCTGTCTGAACTAGCCTACTGTCATACTCTCACAGCAAGGTTAAACAGAAGTTTAGCTGCACAAAAAGCCAAGCTATCATTTTAAAGGAAGTGAGTAATAATATTCCAGAGCAAGTGAAATATTAAAGACGACATACAGGTCAAGTCCAATTACTCATGAAACTCCTGCGACAGGAGCATAAGAACTGTATTCCCTGCAATTAAACCCACCAGTTTAATTAGTATTTTTAAAAGTTTTCAATGATAAACAAAAGCTGACTGCTATGAAACTTGAAACTTTGCCCTATAGTTCCCACACCACACGAAATACTGGTAAGTCATACACACGTGCACTAACCACACACCGTTCCCTATCTCAGGGTGTCAAATACTCTGCCAGATGCCCTGGAAAGGCTCCTGGTATCTTTTACATACACATTAAAGAAAGAATGGTGAGATCAAGCAAGCAGTTATTGTGCTGCTTCATCACTTGGCCCAATAGCAGGGTGTTGCAATTCTAATTTGCAACCCAATATTATAGTGTCAAAGCGTCGCTCAAAAACGAGCTAACAGCAGAAGGGGTCCAACATCAGAGCACATTTCATCCTACTCCCCAGACAGTTGCTGGAATGTTGTTATTTTTTTGTGTGTGTGAGAAATCACCCTCTCCTTCTGACTTTTTTGAGAAGTTTTTGCAAGGCAAGGGCTAGGACAAACAGAAGCTCTGTCTTTCATTTCAGAAGTCATCTGCCAGCAGGAACTTTTCTCCAGAACTGAGTTATCTTTATTCCAAGATAAAGATGACACTTCTCTCTCAAAAGAAACTCCTGCACCAGAAAGTTTAATCTTTATTTTAGAAATTATAAAAACATCAATATTAAGCAAAAGATTACTTTTCAGGCAGCTAAGTCCTGTGCCATGATAGCAACCCTCAAATATGTTGAATGTCCGCCAACTGGGAGCCCCAGCTGGAGTGTCTCAGGAGCTACAAATGCTCACATGTCAGGCTGCTCTTGGAGTGCCTTCTCTTTCTTCACACAGCATCTGCTTACTCCCAAACAGGACTACAGCACACTAGACACACTAACTGCTGTATCACAGCAGTTCCCACACGAATGGCCATAACCTTCTAACAGTCCCCTAACTAAAAATGCTGCTTTGTGGCCTCAGTGCCTGATTACCCAGATTCTCAACCCAGGAATTCATCTGGGTACAAAAAGTAAAAAATTATTTTCCCATCTGAAAACTACCTTCATGCAAGTAGCTTGACTTGGTGGGCTTTCACGTGCACAAGAACAGACAGTGGAAGATACAGGACTTAGAAAAGAATTCTGAAATAAACAAAACATTAAAGGAAAAATACGTACTGTTGTTCAGTTTCCCTAAGCACTACTCACACATTAATTACTGGTGAATAAAGCCAAGAAACGTATTTTCTGACCTGAACACAAAGAATTCTTGGCCAAGAATCTTCCAGATCAATCTAGAAACACTTGCCAAGTGCAGAGAAAGACCAGGTACTTTAAACTTGGGTTAACTTCCTTGATAGAAAGTATTTTCTTTTCCTTCCACTTTCCAGAGTGCTGCCTTTACATGCTCAGAAAAGAACTGCAAGTTTGTAATCTTAGATGCCCTGCAATCTTCTAAAAAGAGCTTGCTGGCACAACTGAATTCCCACCCTTGCAGACTTCTGAAATGACCAAGGAAGGCACAAACTGAGATCCTTGTTGCAGGGCAGCGTTATTCCACCAAGGTATCTGCGGTCTGAGGAAGATAAGCAGTAGCACAAATGTGAAGCAGTGACACCAGCAGAGCACTACAGCTGCAGGCACCTGCTTCTCATTGGCAAACTTTGGTGGCTTACCATGCTCTTGTATATTGCATCTGCCAAGCTTGCAAGTAAGCTGATGATTTTTAGCTAGTAAAGACCAGAGAATTGCTGATACAAATACTGTAAGGACTGTTACCACATAAGGACAGTAGTTGGACTTGGTAAATTTGCTCTTCCTCAAATCCAGCCACACCCTGATGGAGAAAAACAGCATTTCAGAAGCACTTCTAACTGGAATCACATCTAATGAAGAAAGGAAGGTCTGGGAACATCACTAGACATCCGAAGTGGCCAACTCAAATGAACAAGAACTTCTTTCTCATCTTCATCCCTCACAGAACTTTAGAAAATAAATTATGGCAGGAAAACAGGCAAGCTCCTCAAGCACATCAGTCGTAACTGTTAGGCCTGTGATTATCTTCTCAGTGCTCATCACTGCAAAACATGCCATCTCCAGTGGGACAATATGGGAAAAGATCTGCCACATCTAAGAGAGTCAGGGCCTTCAGCAGAACAGCTCCAGGTAACTCTAAAGCAAACCACACAAATTCCCCATCACTGTCACCAACAGCTGCTCCAGATTGCATGGGTAATGCGTAGGTAAAACAACAAGAAAAACATTCCACCTTGCAGACGATGAGTTCTGCAGATATGTAATGGATGTGCTTTGGAATGAATTGAGGGGTGGGAGTGTTGGAAGGATGATAGTGGCTGAGGGATCCCTTGTCTCCACAGGGATATAATATAGCTCTGGGTACCCATTGGAAACAAGCAAGAGCAAGCAATAATGTTTAAGGGAAGTATGAATATTGATTTACTTGCTGTTCTTTGTTAGGTACTTGATTGCTACATCAGCTTTCTGAATTTTTGGAGTGTGTTTTCCTGGATTTTTAATAAAAGCTTTAAAGATCGTAAAAAAGAAATATTATTTCTGTATTATTTGACTATCAACTGCTATTTATCAAATTATTCAATTAGCTATAATTCAAATGCAGAATTATTTCTAGCTGCATACAACCTGCTTCAACAGGCAACTAAATAGGGGAGTTTTAAAAGTATGGTTTCCTCCTGGGGTGAAGGAAAATAATCCCTGTTTTTGGCCTTTAATACTCAGAGATAAGGAAGGCAAACAAAATGCTGGTGTACAAAAAAAGCGTGTTTTCCAATACTTGAGTCTACTTCATAAATCTCCCTTAAAAAAAAAAAAACAAAAAAACCCCCAACTAATTCCCAGGCCTACTTAAGGTCAGCTTGTAGTATATTAGGGAAAAGGAATTAAAGTCTTAAAAACCTGCCATTCAGTTCTAGCATCCTGAAGAACAGCACAGTACAACTATAGTGCTGCCTTTCCAGCTACTCTTGCTAGCACAGTTGGATGAAAGAAGGCACAGAAAGAAACATTCCCAAAGATGTAATTCCATGAGTAATTGCCAAGAAGGCATATGGTTTTTAATGCATTCTTTCAGACTATGATGTGGATAGGTAGAATTAAAACTCACATATATTAAAAAAAGATGGGGGCAGATGTGTTTTTTTAGCACAAAAAGTACATAATTTACTCCTCTAGTTTTTATAATCTAAAGGCATGAAGGAAAACTCCAATCACCTAATCCCAAGTCTTTTAGACTAGCATCTCCAATTTCTTTTGCTGTACCTGTCACAAAGAGCTGAAGACGACGAAGCATTCCATCTAGATGGAACCTTTCCCTCATGCCCTTCTGTAACGCAGTACCTTCAAGGTTCTACATCCAAACAACTCAGAATTTCACCCTACACTCTCAATACTGATTCTTTTGAAAACT